ACCCACCCCGGCAAGGTAGGCCTCGGCTTAAAAAAAGGGGGGATGAATTATGTATTATATTGCCCCCTCGACCGTCATAACCATTCTTCACGACGAGCGGGAGATTTCTTTGGATTTAACAAATTAGACGTGTATACACAGATTTAAATAAGGGGGCGTTCCACAGTGGGCCAGAAGAAGGGTGGGGGTGGCGAAAATCCTAGACGCGTTTTAGCTCCAGAGTCGCTTCGTTGGATTTGGAACCCGACGTGTGACCCCACCAACGCATTGCTCTCCGAATGAGGAATCCATTGGTGGGGTCACACGATAAGTTTCAAACAAGCATGGCTTTGTAAGAGTGTACTTTATCTACGCCTTTGTACGTAAGTCCACGCAGGTCTGGATTTTGAAGCGTTAGTAGACGGCTTGTTTTGCAGTGTATTGCGGCGCTGTGAAATCGCGCGCTGCGCGACATTGTCCACCGTGAATGCGGCGATAGGCGCGGGAGAACGCGCGGGGGCACTGTGCGAACAGAGCGCTGTGTGTTGTTAGTGTTTCGCCTGATGTATAGAAGCGTTCGTGAAAGCTTAGGAGCCAAACACGTCAATGTGATGCAGCTCGGCTCGGATTGGCTCGGCACAGTGGTGACCACGAACCCCCCCCCCCCCCCCCCCCCCCGGGCGGGCCCCAGCCCACTCCGTGCCGCAACACAGCCACACCACATCACACCGCTCGGCCTGTCCCGATCGCATTGACTCTCAATTGGCGTGGAGAGGGGGCTGGGGTGGGCCTGCCGAGGACAGATCGAATGGTACTACTGAAAGTAAGAGAACAAGTGGACCAGCACAAACCATGTTTTAAAACAAAAAGAAAGGCAGACTCTGAAATAGGTGCACTCTTTTCAAACTGTGACTTTTGTCAGTACTTTGAAATTGATTTGTGCCTTTACAACCGGTGTGCGAATGCTTCGAAACCGAATTGAACTCGATTCGATAACAAAACGGAAGTGGAAAATTTCTGAATCGAATTTTTTGGGACCAAAACGAGAAGAAAGTGCTCACTTTTGAAGACATTAATTTACGAATCGAATGTGGCCACATTCGATTCCGGGAGATTTTCCCGCATTCGATTCGAGGTTGAAAATGCCACTTCGCACACCACCGAACTTGATGGTCTTTTGTTGTTTACAATCTTGTCGACTTCAAAAGAATCGGGAATTATGTTCCTCCTATTCCCTACGGCCGGTGTCACGATCAAAGTGACGAGCGCAACTGGCTGCCACGCGTAGGTTATGTGGTAACGAGCAATTGGCCAGCTGGCCGGTCTCGAATATCATTCCCATTTGCATTTTAATGAGAATACGGAAAATACAAGTCTGCCAATTAGCTGTGTGTTGGCGGCAGCGCTCTTTGCCGGTCGGACCACCAGTAAAAAAGGTGCAACTGCGAGGAATGACACACACTGCAAGAAAATTCGCGAATTGTGTAGCAAAAGTATAAAGAAAACTGTGAAAAAAAGTTCAACCAAGGTTGTAGAAAGTCCAAGGAGGACTGTACGAAATTCAACGAGGCCTGGACTAGACCGCACTCGTCATGCCAGTTCCATTTCATTTTGCACAACATTATTTGAAAGAACAATATTTTCCTGATAAAAATATTCTCCAGGAGATGATGTTGAGCACCGGGCGACACGGTAAAAACGGTACCTGGTTTTCCCAGGAATCCTATGGTAGAGACATAGGCGATTTCCAGGGAGTTCCTGGGAAAACCAGGAACCGTTTCTACCGTGGAAGCTCCGCAAGCGGAAAACGCATCGACACCGGTCAAACATCAAATGGAAAATTCATTTTGCAACAAGACCGGTTCAAGCCGGTGGACCACCGCGCTGCGGTACGCTCGTGGTCGCAGGGCGTGGCGTGGCGGGACGTGGCGGGGCGTGGCGCGGTACGGCGCGGCGGCGGGCGGCGCGGCTCAGGCTATCGACCAACGTTCCCCCGCGTAGCGCGCTGACGTCACAGCAGCAGCAACAGCAGCAGCAGTGTGGCCCTTCCCGCCCCTCCCTTCGACCCTTGCCCTGCGCAGCCCTGCGCAGCCCTGCGCCTCCGGTCCTGTACCCCACGCAGGGCGCGCGGGGCGCGCGGGGCGTCGCGTAAACACTGCGTGAGGCCCTTATTTGGAGACCGGTCCTCAAAGAAGCGGCTTCCGCGCACGCCACGTGTCTGTGGCCACTGCGGCCGGCCGGCGTCAGGGAGCACTGATCTTGCCTCAGGCTCAGACTACACTCCATTGAGTAAATTTTTTCACCACAGGCTAAATTTCCTGGAATAATTTTCGCACGAGGTTTCGGACGATTTAGCGCATACTCGCATTCGGCTTTAAATTTGTACGCGATTTCACATGAATTTGAGCGATTCCGCGTACAAATTTGTACGCGGAAACCACTCATACACGTAGCTCCCCCCGCTTAGCAGGAATTTAATCGAAAACGTGTCGCGGAGAACACGATCGGAATCCGTTGACGCGGCGGCGGGGCCACGCACGGCAGGCATTTCCCCGCCAGTCGAGCCCCTCGCAATGAGGCGCCGCGGGGGGTGGGGGAGGGGGGAGGAGGTGGAGGGAAAGGGGTGACAGACGCACAACAAAAGACGAGGCCGTCGACGACGACGAACGGGAAAACATATTTTCCGCAATGCTTTACCTGTTGCTGCGACCTGGCGAAGGCGCTGAAGGCCCCGAAGGCCCCGCCGGAGGGAGGAGCGCCTTGCCTTATCGAGCCCGTCTTCATTACCAGACGCTCTGTCTCTCTCGCACCCCTACGGACCCCCACGGACCCTCGCGCCGCCCCGTGAGTGCGACGGAGACAGAAACGACTTTCCGAAATGAGGCGGGAGATGACGCCGATCGTCTGACGGTGTGCCGGTGCGGCGGCGGCGCTCGAAGGGGAGTCGCCCGGTCTCTCTCCCACCTCCACGGGACGCCTCGTGAGTGCGACGGAGACGAAACGATCTCTCGGAATGAGACGGTGTGGTGGCGCGCCGTGGCGGCCGAAGGGGCGTTACTGCCGCTCCAGTGCGCATGATGGCGCCACGGCTTTTGACGACGTTTACCTCGCGCGCTCAAGAGCGAGTCCATCTGCCGAGCCACTCCGAACACCACACTGTAAATGTCTTACGGCGAAAGGCTGCACCAACATATTTTGGTGGAACTACTTCGTTATGACAAGTGTCTCTTCTTTGTAAGGCCTAAAATACTTTGTAAGTTTTTCAAAAGTCCAGCCAGGGTGGATTATTGTTTGTCGAATATAGTTCCAACTGAGCTGCAGGCTACTTGTTCTTGAAAAGACCAACACAAAAAAGCAGCACTGCTTCAGCAAATATCGGGGCGCTGCACCGGCGGCGCTGCCCGAGCTCGAATTGAAGTAGCGGGTAAGTTTTGAGTCAACACAGCGATGCGGCGTGGCTGAGTTTGAGGGAAAAAAAGAAAAAGAAGGAGGAGCGGACGAGACTCGGAAAGCGCGCCACATAAAGATAGAAGCGGCTAGCACACACCTCCAGACCGCCGCTGCGGACATCCCAGTTTTGTGTGTCTATCTCATTTGTCAAAGTACACAGCGCACAGTGGGCCAGCAGAGCGGCGCAGGCGGCTGAAATCCTAGGCGCGTTTTGGGCTCTAAAGTCACTAGAAAGTACTTGAACCGAACGTGTTACCCCACCAATAGATTTCTCATTCGGATAGCAATCAATGGGTGGGGTAACAGTTCGGTGCGAGTCCCATTTAGCGACTATGGAGCTCAAAACGCGTCCGGGATTTTGACCGCACCTCCTGGACTTTTCTCCACCCCGTGCAGACGTGGTGCCCTCCCAGACCCACCTCGGCAGTGGAGTGGTTTTGTTGACAGTCTTCGTCTGCTCAATAATTCGCGCTGCCGGGAACGGCCGGGAAGGAAGGCTGGGGCAGGAAATCCGCGGGGGAGGTGGAGCCGAGCGGAGCACCGTGCGTGTGTGGCAGTGGGATGACAGGGAAACGCGAAATGAAAGGTAGGATTCTCCACGCGTCGCGCCAAGAGAGAGAGAGAGAGAGAGAGAGAGAGAGAGAGAGAGAGGGGGGGGGACAGAGACAGAAGCGGGACGCACCGGAGTCATTATCCACAGCGACGCGAACACAAACCCACTTTTTCCAATAGAGTTTCGAGTTTTGTTTTTTTCGTTGCGCTGGCTTGCTCGTCAAAAGGAACAAAGCTCATTGGGGGGAGAAGGGAATTCAAAACACACGAGGGGAGCTCATATGTCCCGTGATGTGAGGTGCAGGTTGACGACAAGAAGGCAGAAAGTCGGACAGTCTCCCAGCAAAGAAAGGAAATGAAAGTTAAGCACGAAATAGACGAGATCGAGGTGTTTTCGTGTGTGGAGGCCTAGTCCCACCAGGACTCCCAGAGCCGTGCAGGGTGACTCCCGTGCCTGCGCTCAAAAGTTAGCTTGATAACGGGCTAAACTTGAGGGCACTGACTTAGCACGCAGACCGAAACGGATCCCTGCCTAAGAACACACATAGTCGAGTTAGCACCTCCAGGAGGCCGTGCGCCTCGGAGGCTTTAAACTCGACTCTGTCCACAAAATGTTTGTGGAACTACGCCGTTCTGTCGCAAAGAGCTAGCCGGCTCGTCTTTCCACGGATTTCTTGAGAGTACAGCAGGTGTGAAAACTCTGCAATGAACTCAGCACACGCCTGCTAGTGCATCCCCAGTGCAGGTTGGCATGCTTACTTGTTGCTGAAGCATCAGCTGCGCTGCAAGGTGTGCTTCATTACTCGAGTATTCTGAAGGACGTTATTAATAAGTGCAGGTTCGGTTCACCCAACGCCGCAAGCCCCACAAGCGTGCACGGGTACAACTGAAGTCTAGATGAACGCTTCATTGAAGTAACTGCGCTTGAAGACTTTACGCTTCAAGACAAGCGTAGATACGAAATTCATGTGGAATTCACATATTTGTACACTGAAAAAGAATGAAGTGGTGGTACTTACCGTAGGGCAGGGTGTGGTGGTCGGTACATCGCCTGGAGGTGGCTGCGTGTGTTGGTCGGCAGCCGTGCTGCGGCAGTGGGTGCAACGGTGGCAGGGCGTGGTCATCACCCTCTCACTTCACGATAATTTTATGATAATTTTTGATGTTTTAGTTTATTATTTAACTTGCGTTGGCAGGTTTTTTCTCTTTTCCCTCTTTCTCATCGCACTACGAACGCGTTTAATCAAATTTGGAGGGCCGACCGGTGCGGAGACTTGTTTGGTTGCGGTGTAGGAGAGGAGCAGACGGCGTGGGGCGAAAGTTTTGGGGGAGTTTAGGTTTATTAGTTTTTCGTTTTGGGGACACGTTTTTGGGGGGCGTTGGTGTTTAGGGAGGGGCGGCTTGCGTTTTGGGGGAGCTTGTTTTGGGGGAGGCGAGGGGGTGGCTTTTATAGGCTTCGCCGTGACGTCATTGGAGAACTCTGGACCAGCACGGGAAATCTGCAACACAAACGAAAAATACGTCAGCGGCGTTACAGTGGATGACAATCACATGGTGCAAAAAAAAGGCCAGCAAATATTTCACCCGAGTAGTCGCCATTGCTTTTAAGAGCTCGTGACCACAAAAAGTACAATTCACTGAAGGGCTTAACGAACGTGGTGCCTGCACCACACGGCCGGCATGGCGTCGTTGTAAACCCGGCGCCCTGCCACTCTGCCCTCCAAACACAAACACACGCCCCAGTACCAAGTATCTGCACGCACAACAGCCACATCCACTAACCGAGCCACGCCGGAAAAAAAGCGACAGGCACATAGAGACGCCATTCGGTAAGTTAGGTCGGTTCGCCCTTCAGTAAGAAACGATTTGGCGTGCAGACCTTTAACCGCGCAACACAAACAACAATCAAAAACTACATTCACGCGCCTCTTCAAACCCTTTAAAGCCACTCAGTGGGCTAGAAGACCGGTGGAGGTGGTCAATCGTGCACGGCCGGAGGAGTTTCGAGCTTCAGAGTCACTAAATAAGACTCAAACCAAGCGTGCGAGCCCAACAACAAATTACTCCCCGAACGAGGAATCCATTGGTGAGGTCACTCGGTCGGTTCGAGTCCTGTTTAGCGACTCTGGAGCTCAAAACGCGTCTGGAGTTTTGACCGACGGCGCCGGTCTTCCGGCTCTTGTGCGCCGCCGCCTTGCTTAACTATATTATGGGGACTGAGGGCGTGGCGCCGCGCGGCGGGGTGAAGCAGGGCGCGGCGGCCCGTGGCGGATATCATGAGCCGAGCGATTAGCCGACGCGACGGGCGGGGCGGGGCGGGGGGGCGGGGCGGGGCGGGCGGGGCGGGGCGGCGTGGAAGGCCTCGCGGGTAATCGGGCCCGGGATAGTCGGGGGAGCATAACGGCCCGCCCGCCTCCGGGCCGGCGCGCTGCAGGCCGCTGGGTATTTGCTAGACGACTGGGCTCAAGTTATGGCGCCGCGACCCGGACGGCGACACGCAGCGCCACGCACGTGGCGGCCGCACTCAATCCCGGTTACGCTTTACGACGCGTGAACAGGGCAGGGCCGAAGGGAGGGCCGAAGGGAGGGCCGAAGGGAGGGCCGGTGCACAGGGGCCAGAAGACCGGTGGAGGCGGCCAAAGATACCGGACGCGTTTTCGAGCTCCAGAGTCGCTAAACGGGCAAGTAGCCCCATCAATGGATTGCTCTCCGAACGAGGAATCCATTGGTGGGGGTCACACGTTCGGTTCGAGCCCTGTTTAGCGACTCTGGGGCAGAAACACCAAAAGGAAAGACGAAGACAGATCTCGCGCCACGCTGGGGGCCGACGCAGACGTGTCGCCTGGGATTGCCTACGTCCTTCCACGTAGGCAGGATAGGCAACGCAACGACAACGCGCGCCACGATGGCCCGGAGCACGCATCGCAGCTTGGGGGATTTAGCAGACGAAGACGGAAGAGGGATTCCACTCGCTTGAACACGCAAACACGCTCTCTCTCTCTCTCTCTCTCTCTCTCTCTCTCTCTCTCTCTCTCTCTCTCTCTCCTCTCTCACTCACTCTCTCTCTCTCTCTCTCTCTCTCTCTCTCTCTCTCTCTCTCTCTCTCTCTCTCTCTCTCTCTCTCTCTCTCTCTCTCTCTCTCTCTCTCACACACACACACACACACACACACTGTTGCCCGAACTAGCGTAAAACGCTGGGTTTGTAGTCGCTTTATTATGCAGTGCAGCCTTCGCTTCCGGGATTACAAAATATGCAACCTCTGCTGTGCAGTTCTATGTACTTTGCAGGGTGTTCTCTGGTGAGGCTAAACGCTTCACACGTTACTGCCGAGAGATTGACTCTTGCCGAACATTCCGTCGGAGCAGAGCAGATACACTCTCAATCAGTGTCATCACCGCTACTCCTGTCGAAAATACTTCAGATTTGGTGCTTTTGAAACTACAGCCAGAAACGTGCCTCATCGATGATAGGGTTGAAGGGAATGATGCCACATTGGAACGAGATAAATGGACATAACAAGGTGCAATTGAAAAAAAAAGAAAAGAATAATTTTAACATACGCTCCCAGAAATCCTAGAAATTTCTTCAGTAGCCGTTGAATGATTGAAAAGGTCGCAAAGTTTGGTCCGCCGACCTTCGTGTCGTGTGGCGAGTTTCCTTCCCTCCCTCCCCTCCGGGGTGTTCGACCCGTGGCGGTCCGACCCGTCCGATGAGGCGAAGGAAAAGAAAAACACGAGCCAGTCGCTTAACTTGCAGGGCGCCTAGTTTGTGCAACGAGGATGACGGTGAAGTTGGCAGTCCACAGAGGCGGGGCGAGGCGGGGTGCAGGCAAACGGACCCCAGTCTAGTTCCGTTCGGTCAGCAGGGGAAATCCAGAATCCAGCAAAGGCGGGATGAAACTTTCCGCACGGGCATTCCGCCGGCATGGAGGACAGCACGTAAAACGAAATCGGGATCGGGTTACAAGAGACAGAAACGCGGGCCGATGTTTCGTGCACTCGACAAGTCGTTCGGAGAAATTTCCATTAATACGAAAGGAAATTGCGCAAGCGTTCTACGCACGTGAGAATTAACAATGTCTTCGTTTTCTTCGCAGTTTTTTTTTATCTGTTCGGAGTAGTGTGTAAAAATCAGGGACGCCCTTACCCTCAACACGTTATCGGCAGCAGAGGCGGCTTGACAGCGGCCGCCATCCGCAGGACAGGCGGGCGGACAGGCGGGCGGACAGGCACCGTCACCGCGGACTTACCTCGCGGTCCGGGGCTCGGAGGCCGCGGGGGGAGGGGGGGGGGGGGGCCTCGAACGCGCCCTAAAGTGTCCGGTCGCAAACAGTGATTTATCGTCCGCCGTTATGCGTGCGTACGGCCAGGACCGCCGTGTCCTTCACCCCCTCCTCGTGTCTGGCTGTCTCCGACACACATGCACAGTGGGCCATGAGGCCGGTGGAGACGGTCAGAATACGAGACGGGTTTTGAGCTCCAGAGTCGCTAAATGGTACTCGAACCGAACGTGTGACCCGACCAATGGATTGCTCTCCGAACGAAGAATCCGTCGATGGGGTCACACGTGTGGTTCGAGTCCTGTCCAACGACGCTGGAGCCTTTGCCGCGTTTTGAGTTTTGGCCGCCTCTGCTGGTCTTCTGGCCCACTGCGGCACGCACGGTGCATGTCCCCGTCCTTTCTCCCTTCCTCATTCTCCCGCGAACCCGTCGAAAACAATCTTCTCGGCGGCGATTCATGTCACCACACAATGGCGAGTCATAAAGTGGTCAGGAAGAGAGAGACAGCGCGGCGGGGCGGCGGGTGGGAGCGAGACGCGGCGGCGGGGACGCGCCAAGAAGAAGAGAGGGAGAGGGACGACCCCGCGAGACAAGGATGACAACTTGCCAGGAAACGGCCGCTTTGTAACCAATTTTTCGCGTCCGTGACATCCCAAGAGTGAACCTGCAGGGAAAGGCCGACCAGGGCCGAGCGCACAATGGGCCGGAAAGGGAAAGTTGTGGCAGGGGGAGGGGCGTCAAGGAGAATCAATGGGCAAGGGCCAGTCTGATGGAGATACACGTACGTGGACGAGACGTCATCTCGAGAGGCGCCGGGGAAGCGAGGCACAGAGAGAGAGAGAGAGAGAGAGAGAGAGAGAGAGAGAGAGAGAGAGAGAGAGAGAGAGAGAGAAGACAGAGTGTGAGGGACTGGTGTGGTGCAGCGCGGCGGGATGTCATGGAAGGAGTTTTGCCACGTCACCGCGAGTTGGCAGCTCCACACGCAACCCCCTCTCTCTCTCTCTCTCTCTCTCTCTCTCTCTCTCTCTCTCTCTCTCTCTCTCTCTCTCTCTCCGTCCCGCCCGCCCCCTTTCACCATGACGTGCAGGGCGCAAGGGTTCGGCTTGATCTACATGCAGCCTACATGTGTTCCAGCGGAGCTCGCGTCACGTCACAGTGAGGCAAACTGATTCCCAGGGGAACGTGTCTCGCTGTGTGTGTGTGTGTGTGTGTATGGGTGTATGTGCGTGTGTGTGTGTGTGTGTTTGCGCGCAAGCTTGTGTGTGTTTGTGCGTGCGAGAGAGCAGAGAGACTTTCCATGTGAACCGTACTTGCTGTTGGTGTAAGTTTCCCTCACCCTGCTGTCGTCATTTTTCTTCGCAAATTAAGAAGGAAAAAACTCAACAGATTTCGAAAGGACTTGTGATTTAAATGAAAGTGGGCTGATTTGCGCTGAAAGGTTGCCTATTTAGAACACTTTTAGCGAGTGAGCTTGATCGCACTTGAGTGAGATAGTTTCGTACTTGACCGTCGAATGAATTGGAGCAAAACCTCACTTTGAATAACCGGGCAACTATCCGGCTGTAGTTTGATTGACGCGTGGTTAAGGGCTGCCGTGGGTTCTGGCGTGCGGTCGGGGGCGTTAGCCTGCCCACTGAATGACGCACGCAATCGCATAGGGCGCCACGCCAAACCACGCCGGCGCACAGTGGGCCAGAAGACCGGTGGAAGCGGCCAGAATTCAAGACGCGTTTTGAGCTCCGGAGTCGATAAATGGGGCTAGAACCGAACGAGTGACCCTACGAATGGATTGCTCTTCGAACAAGGAACCCATTGGTGGGGTCACACGAACGGTTCGAGTCTTGTTTAGCGACTCTGGAGCTCCAAATGCGTCTAGCATTTTTGCCGGGCACACTGTGCAACGGTCCGCTGTCCGTGTTGCGTGTGTGCTTGCTGAACTAGTTGGTCGGGTTCCAGTGCGGCTCTCCCGTCGATGACGCTTTCACCCCGCTGCTCGTCAGTCTGTCTGTCTGCTGTCTGACAGGATGTGTTTATATTAGTGACGTGACGTGCCATCAGCATTTCAGTTTGCAAATTAGGACTGAATAAAAACATGATCCTGATGTGTTGACGACGGCCGTAACCAAATTCGACTGTTGCACGGGGTAATGACCTTGCTAATGAAACGGAATCGGAACGGTCTGAACAAGTTAAACTCAAGTTCAAAAAAGTTCAAAATAAGATGAAAAGGGATATTTTTGAACACAATGTCAGCATTTTGTACAAACAACTGATTTCTTCGCAGTAGTATGTGAAACTCCAATACCTTGGAACATTGTGCAAATTTATTTAGGATCAGAGTGGTAGCTTTAACAACACTTTTTTCAGTTGTGTGAAAACGTTGGACAAGATGGAGAAGCGCTGCTGCACTAGGTTTACTTGGCACGGTAGAATCCATTTGCTTGTATTACCACCGAATGGAAGAGGGTATGCTATCTTAAGAGCCAAACTTTATCAACTCGGGAACACAGCCCTAGGCCCGGCAGGCGACGAACTGAATATTGATTGTTTACCTGCAGAGTGGCAAGTGTTTGTTAATCAAGCCAGACGAAAACAAACTTGCTCCCGGTAACTAATTCAGTGCGCTGGTTAGGTTAGGCTCATTAGTGGGACCACCCAGCGAGACGGCCCACACACCTGACGGCCAAGTTCAAAGAGTTGTTTACCGATTCCGCAATCGGATCGCAGCCTCCAGCCGCCTAACAAGGCAGAAAACGCCACAACGACACCATCGAGGGGATCCTTTGTGGCGCGGCCCGGAGCCACCGAGGGCCGCCGAAGGGTGCCGAAGGGCCTCCACTTAAAACCGAACGGCGTGCCCTACACTGTCGCGGATGTTTACAACTTTTTAAACAACTTTGCGGCGATGCCTAAATTATTTGGAGCGTCTTTCAACTTTAGGCAGACTTGCTTGAGGTTGGACCATTGAGGACGCGGGCAAGGCGGTGGGCTGAGAGTGGGTGGCTTGGTGGCGAGTTGGCAGTGCAGGCGGGCATGTGTCGGGCCCGAAATGGCATACGATCTTATGTGGTCTAGCCCTTAATGGTAATGGGTAGGCAGGCCAGCTGCTCGCATGTTCACCGTGTGGCCTGCCCCGCCGATGGCAGGCGCTTTTGGTGGAAGAAAATCTCGTGAAAAGAACGTGTCGTAGCAGGGGGAATGAAGGTAAATAAAGATGGCTCGGCGAAAACCAAAAAAACTAACAACTCAGCAGAAGACAAAAAAAATGAAATGAAATAAAATTTTCCAAAAGAGAAAAGGAAAAGAGATACGGCAGAAAAAGGGAAGGAGCGGCGTTGCAAAGAGAGCGAAGACAGTGAAGGACAGATGCAAGAAGATGAGAGGAGGGAGAATAGAAGGGCATTAATGGGCCTTATTTTAGTCGGCTGGCTGGCCGGTCGCCGCCCAGCGCATTTTAGAGACAATCCCGCCACCTAAAAAGCCATAACTCGACAGCGAGAGTCATCTGTTACGACGTCGGCCTCAATTTGAGAGGCGAGCGACATTTTGAGGTTATGCTTGCCCAGATGAGCCGCGCTTCCCCCCACCCCTACACTGACCCCCTCCCCGTCCCCCCACCCACTCATGGCAGTTTACCCCGCCCTAGCCACCGTCCAGCGAAACACAATCTGACGAAACATAAAAAAACAAACATAAAGCGCGCGCTTCAACACTGAAAACTGAAACTGAAAACTCAACGGCCGGCTAGTCATTCATAAAAAGGGTCGGCGCTGCTCAAACACACACACACTCGAAGAGTGACACACACACACAGGCTCACACCCTCTCTCTCTCTCTCTCTCTCTCTCTCTCTCCCTCTCTCTCTCTCTCCCCTCTCTCTCTCCTCTCTCACAACCCCCACACACCACACACACACACACACACACACACACACACACACACACACACACACACGTCGACGACGTAAACAGTGGGCATGCAGTTTCCCTTTTGAGGGTGCGGACGAAGGTGACCTCCTTTCCAAAGTGTTCGAGTTGCGCCAACGGCAGCCAGGGACCGCCAGCAGACCCTCGTTGCACACCACCACACCGCACCATGCCGCACCATGCCGCACCATGCCATGCCGCCACACCCACCCACCGCCAAACGCTGCTGCGTCAACAGCTCAAGGGGGCGTGGCGGGGCGCGGCGGGGGCGCGGCGTGGCGCGGCGTGGCGGGGCGCGGCGTGGCGGGGCGCGGCGGGGCGCGGCGGGGTGCGGCGGGGCGTGGCACAACCCTTGAGTCGTGAGCAACGTTTGCAAACTTTGGCAAAGTGAAAATGACGCCGGGGTGGCCAGGCGGGGCGGCCAGGCGGGGCGGCCAGGCGGGGCGGCCAGGCGGGGCGGCGCCAGGCGGGGCGGCCAGGCGGGGCGGCCAGGCGGGGCGGCCAGGCGGGGCGGCCAGGCGGGGCGGCCAGGCGGGGCGGCCAGGCGGGGCGGCCAGGCGGGGCGGCCAGGCGGGGTGACCAGGCAGCGTGCCCAGGCGGGTTGCCCAGGCGGCGTGCCCGGACGGGGTGCCCGGGCGGGCGGCGGTCCGCGGCCGAGACTGACCTGCTGGGCCGTGCTGCTGGTACTCGGGGTCCACGGGGTCCGCGGGGCACCGCGCGGTCTTGCTCACGTTGGGCGGCCTGTTGGGGCCGCAGGGGCTGCATTCCGTGCGGCTGCGGCGGCTGCGGGGGCAGGGGCCTTGGCGGGGGCCTTGGCAGGGGCCTTGGCGGGGGCGGGGGCAGGAGGGGCACGGGCAGGGCGGGCTAGGGCGGGTGAGGCGGGCCGCCGCCCTTGCCCCATCTCCACGACGCCGCGCACTGCCACCACTCATCACGGGGATCCACTTCACTTGAGACTCCTGAATGCCATACGACGCACTAGACACACTCGCGCCGCAGAGACACAAGCACTGACACACACATCTTGACGCACGCCCTCCCGCCCCACACGCACACGAACGAGGCACTCGGGCCGCACGCACGGCCACACGCGGACGCGCGCACGCACGCACGCTCGGGTGGCACGCAGGCTGCGCGGGCCAGGCCGGGCCAGGCCGGGGCGGCGGCCTGTTCGCCGTGGGCTGCCGTGCCTTGCCGTGCCGTGCCGAGCCAAGCCGCCCTGCGCGATGGGGCTCCCCTCGCTGTCGCTGCTCGGTGCAGACTGGGAGCGCCGCTAGCGGCAGCCCTGGACCAGAGCCGCCACGCCCCGCCCCGCCACGCCCCGCCACGCCCCCCACGCCCCGCCACGCCCCGCCACCCCCCTGGCGCGCGCTGCCTGCCCGGCGCTGCCACGGCTGCCACCCTGCGGCCCCGAGCGGGGAGGGAGGGGGCAGTGGGTGGGCGGGGCGGCGCGGCAGGGCGCGGCACGGCGCAGCCCGGGGGGGAGGGGGTAGCGAAGGCGGCTGCAGGCAGGCTGGAATCTGGAGGTTTGTGCTCTGCGCGGCAGTGCCCGCCTGTTATCCCCCTTTCAGCCCCCCACCCCCACCCCCTCTCCCGCATTCCGCCACCCCCTCCACGTCGCGAGTGAGAAAGTACTCGTGTTTGCTCAATTCTCAGGGCGCGGCGAACGAAGGCAAGCCAAAGGACCGAAAACGTCTGCTAGAGCTGTCGAAAAGCAAAAAAAGAAAAAAATGGCAACCTTCTGTCTTTGGACACATATTTCTCTCTTTTGGCCACTCGTTTTCTCTCTTCGAATACTTGATTTCTCTTTTCGGACACTCGTTTTCGCTCTTAAGACTCTCTTTTTCTAAGTTTTGACGCTCGTTTTCTGCCTTCGGACACTCGCTTCCTCTCCTCGGACACTCGTCTTCTGTTGCGTCTGTTCGAGCGGGAGAGGAGGAGCAGAGTCTTTGAGGTCGAGAGACAAAGAAAGACGCTTTACAATAACCTGCAGGGTGAGACAATTCGGCCCGTTCTCGGGGAGGTCACCGCCACCGCCGCGCCACCGGCACCGCCGCGCCACTGCCACCGGGGCGCCGACAGCGCCGTCTTACATTGTTGCATCAAGGGCCCTTGATTAGGGCCTCGATCACTACTTGAACGAACACAACTCAGAGATGCAATCAGCGCCCCCTTGACTGCAGGCGACGCGACAACCGGCAGCGGATGGCCCTCAAGCACCGTTCAATAACCGTTTAATCTAGGGCTTTCGATCAGAGCATCGAGGCCTCCGCTCGCGCGAGCGCGCCTTCGCCGCATCCGGCAGGCCTCCTTACGCTGCAAGACCAGCGCGGGTGGTCAAAACTCCCGACGCGTTTCGAGATATCCAGCGTCGCTAAATGGGTCTTGAACCGAACTTGTGACCCCACCATTGAATTCCCTTTCGAACGAGGAATCCATTGGTGGGGTCACATGTCACGTCCCATGCAAAACTCTCTCTCTCTCTCTCTCTCTCTCTCTCTCTCTCTCTCTCTCCTCTCAACACCTCTCTCCTCTCAACACCCCTCTCCCAGACGTTGTTGGAGAGATAATTTCACTTGTGCCGCTAATTGAGATTTTCGCCCCTTCGTCCTTCCGGGAGTATTAAGGATGCCAGTAGGATAGGCCGACTGGTTCAACTGAGTTCCCGCCAGAGGAGTTTGTGCCAATCAGAGGCGAACTGCCATTTATCTGCTTGTGATCCGGACAGGCTGCCGAGCCGAGCTTAGCCGAGCCCTGGCTTGGGAGAAGCCGGGCCTTGCCAGCAGCGGAAAAAAAAGAATAGAGGGAGAAAGAGAAACGCACACAAAGGCTACCGGAAAAAAGTTTCATTGCAACGGAATTGCTTCAAATAGCTAAAAACCAAATTGCACATTGTCCACGATTACCCATTTCAGGGAGAGTGTCATCCCACCCAACGAATCGATTAACATTTGAACTTTCAGTGTCGCAGTGAAGTGCGGGACAGGTTTTCAGAGCTTACCCCAAACAAAAGCTTTTCACCGTGAGAGAGAGAGGAGAGAGAGAGAGAGAGAGAGAGAGAGAGAGAGAGAGAGAGAGACGGGGTGGGGGAATCTAAGTATGGTGGTATGTGTTGAGATCCCTGGTCGGGGACGGAAGGGAAGGGAAGTTGGTGCCGAGGGGACGAGGACAAACATTACAAGAGGGCGGTGGTGTTAGTTGCGTTGGGATACTGGCCGCGATGCCCCCCCCCCCCCTGCCTCTTTCGGGCCGGCTTGTGTTTCAGCCCTCGAAATCCCTGTGCCGCTACGCCCCAGCTACGCCCCAGCTACGCCCGGACGCACGACTTGTGTTCGGGCCACGACGCGTCAGGACGGCCGCGATCATCCTGGGGCCGGCCGCCCAAAACAAACGTGGAGTGCAAACAGGCGGTGGCTCGCGTCATTCCATTGCGTCATCCGTTCTCTTCGTCAGCCGGTTCTTACTGAATTTTAAACACTATTGAGCTCTCAAAAAAAAAAAAAAAAGAATCTTGAAATGAGAGAACACACTTGAAACTTAACTGGCAATTGTCTCATAAATTAGAACACACTTGCAAATGTAGGCTTGCAAGTACACACGATAAGTCTCCCTCACTCGAGCAATAAAAATTTACATCACCATGAACAAATTATGTTCCAAGTGAATTTTCTCGTTTCTTTTTAAAGAAAAGTCTTTTTAATGCGCGCTTGATTTTCTGTTTCAAATGTTGCCGCCGTTGACGGGTTTCGCGCCGCCCGGATTTGGTGCCACCTGCCTGTCACTCCGGACGTAATTGATAATTCGGGTGTCGATGGTAACAGGTGTCTTGTGACCTCGGGCGCTCGACACAGAAACCCCCCCCCCCTCTTCCTGTCTGTCCGTCTCTCTCTCTCTCTGTCTGTGTGTGTGTGTGTGTGTGTGTGTGTGTGGTGTGTGTGTGTGTGTGTGTGTGGTGTGTGTGTGTGTGTGTAAGCAGATCCGTCGTACTTGGCGCTTTGATGTAGGTGTGATATACGGCGTCTTACACTACGCCGCTTTGACGGGGACGCCCTTCGAGTGTCCTCCCACCTCAACCGCCCCGCCCCACCCCGCCCGTCTTTGAGCGTGTCTCTGTCCTGGGCTGGCTGGCGTCTGCAGACCGTGCGGGTAAAGGTTAGCGGAAAGGGCGTTCTCTTTCATCGCCCGCTTAATCACACCGATGGCCGCGGCGTGGCGTTCGAGTGACGTCATGCGATGACCTGGGCAAAACAAGGTCCGGTGAAGGGTTGCTTTCGCCAGAAAGAAGAAAACAGCGAAAACAAGAACCTGATTTTGTAAAGACTTAAGGAAAAAAAACTTTGATGAAATTCGTGACACTTTAGGTTTGTTTACGAAACGAATCAAAGCAGCTTGCATTTGATTCAGTCTCAAAAGAGTAACACATCCCCAAGGGAAAATTGCAGTGTTACAAAGTTTTGAATTCTACATGAATTTGGGATGATTTTCAATGAATTTCCTTAGATATCCTTGGATTTCAGTATATCACTGATTTTCGAAGAATTTCTTTGAATTTTGACTAAATTTCTTGAATTTCGAAAGAATTGACTGAAATTCGAAATCGTTGATGAATTTCGGAGTACAATTTTTTGGAGTTGTTTCCCCTTGCATATCCCTGCATAGTACTCCGGCTACAACAATTGTACATCAGGCACCTTCGGAGCTGCCGTCGCCATAAAACCTCCTTATCTGAATACGGCCTCAACGCCAGAAAAACGCGTGGGCCCTTCCCACACTGCACGCCCCCCTCGGCCTGCTTGTCCCCAGCACGCCCTGGCCCGCCCCTGGCCTTCCCGCCGTCGCCGGAAGAGAGACCCTCTCACCGGAACCAGTGCCCAAGACCCGGAGGGCCCCGGAGCCGGAGGGCCGGATAGCGACCCGGAGGCCCAGCCGAGAAGATCGCTTTGTCGCTCCGTCTCTCTCGCACCCTTGCGGCGAGCCCCATGAGTGCGAGAGAGACAGGGCGACGAAACGACTCTCGCTCGGCAGGCCCGGAGGCTGGCGCGGGCAGCGCGGCTAGCGCGGCTCAGACCCCGTGCCGGAACCACCCTGCTGGCCTGTCGGGCAGGCCGCACCCCGCCCCGCTGATACTCAATAGGTCGCTGAAATGTGAAACGTCTTTCGCAAAGGCACCGCCCCGGCCGCCCGGACAAAAAGATTGGCGGGAAATTGTGGTTCATTCAAAAAGAAAAAGTGAAAGAGGAAGGAGGGGAAAGTAAACGCCCACCCCGGATTTGCTTTACTCTTCTTTAGGTGTGCCGTCTGTGTGCGTGCGCTATTAACTATTTTTTTTCAGCGCTCAAGGCGAAAAGCCGCACCAGAATCACTGTCGAATTTTCTCCCCCGGCTATAGCGGCCAGAGCGGCTAACCCCCAGCGGAGCTGTACACGCGGCGGGTTTAACCCGCAAAAGATTCCCAACGATCCGCTTCTTGGCAGTTTGGCGTTCCGTTTTCATATTATTTGCATTTTATTCTCGGACACTGACCCCACATAAGTACACGCGCATTACTCTTGGCATAAAGGGACAGCCCCATCCCACCGCGAGGCCCGATCGGAGTTCATTCAGGGTGGGCAAGCGGGGGAGGGGAGAGGCGACACACACACATACACATTCTCTCTCTTTCTCTCTCTCTCTCTCTCTCTCTCTCTCTCTCTCTCTCTCTCTCCCCCCCCCCCCCCACACACACACACAGAGGGAGAGATGGAGAGGAAGGGGCAGGGTGTGCTGGCGAGTCAGTGGTGGGTTTGGGAGACG